ATCCCGGGACTCCAGGATCATGACCTGAGCCGAAGGCAGTCGCTTAACCAACTGAGCCACCCAGGCGCCCCTATTGCCCATTTTCTTACTCTCTTTTGTGAAGTGTCAAAAGTCTTTTGTCCATTTTTCTACTGAGTTACCTTTTTCTTATTTATTGTACCAGCTGTTTATATATTCTGGAAATGAGTCCTTTGTTGGATAGATGTTCTGCAAACACCTCGAGGAGATAGATTTCAGTCTGATATAAAGAACCTCTTTATTAATGGAAGAGTCCAAAGAGAACACAGGTGGCTACAAATTAGAGATATTGAGGAGAGAACCCTGCACTGGGAGGATGGGCCAGATACTAATGCCCACATATGGGTAACATTCTATAGTTAATCAAATCATGTACATATTCTAGACTTTATTTAAACCTTTATACAACCTGGCTAGATAACACTGATGTCTGCTCATTTTTAAAATTCCTGTTTTAGGGGCACCTGGGTGGCTCAGTAGTTAAGCATCTGCCTTCGGCTCGGGGCATGATCTCAGGGTCCTGGGATTGAGCCCCACATTGGGCTTCTGCTCAGCGGGAAGCCTGCTTCTCCCTCTCCCACTCCCCCTGCTTGTGTTCCCTCTCTTGCTGTCTCTCTGTCAAATAAATAAATAAAATCTTTTTTAAAAATATTCCTGTTTTATTTGTAAGGCTGGCTGGCTTCCTAGGGGTGGCCCTCTGTCCCTTCGGCATAGTGCTCAGTGAGTGATTAAGCTAGTAAGGCTTTTACCTTTTGCTGTGGATCTGTGTGAAGATTGGGGAACACATTCAAAGTTTAGGCCAAATCTGCCCCAGCTTTTACTTTCTGTATGTGCAAGACCTCACATTTGGCCAAGGATCGGTAGACTGCTAGGACCTGCCCAGGTTCTTTAATGAGCAAGCATGTTGCTTTATGTCTACACAGACTTCCAGACTACCAAGAATATGTGGAAGCCCATTCAAATATCAAAGCCCATGGCTGTCATGTTCCCCAGATCTTCCTGTAAATCTCTGGCTGTTCTGCTGCTTGTCCCAGTCAGTATCACAACCTCAGGCTAGTTGTGATGTTGATCTTACCTGACTGCCACAAAAATCACCATTATTTTGACAATGCCCCAAGCATGGATTTTTCCAAATGGTGCTCCCCATCAAGTCGGCCTAATCTGGCAGTGAGGTTGCAGGTCCTCACGACCTGCCTTGCCCTGGTAGAGGTTCCTAAGTGGAACCTCATAGCGTATGTCTGACTTATTTTGCTCATCATTATGTCCATGAGGCTCATCAATGCTGCTGCATTGTGATTGGATGGTGGGCACTCAAACATGGACTGCATTAAATGAAGTATAATGCACCGATTAAAGGAGGTGGTGGTCCCACTCTATTGGGCTCTGCAGACCTCTTCTGGGCTGTTTTTATCTAGCTCTGAGCATCCTGGTTTTGTTTTTTTTTTTAAAGATTTTATTTATTTATTTGCGAGAGAGAATGAGAGACAGAGAGCACGAGAGGGAGGAGGGTCAGAGGGAGAAGCAGACTCCCGGCTGAGCAGGGAGCCCGATGCGGGACTCGATCCCAGGACTCCAGGATCATGACCTGAGCCGAAGGCAGTCGCTTAACCGACTGAGCCACCCAGGCGCCCTCTGAGCATCCTGTTTTAACACAAATCTGGAAATACGTAGCTGAGGGGGTATGGCAGTAGCTCCAGGCCAATATGCCATAGATTCCCACCATTCTCACCAAGGTTTTGTAGATTTTCTGGAATAAATGCTTCTCCATCTGTTGCATGCCTTTGGTCAATTTCCAGTGCTGAAATGGCTGTTTTTGACAATCCTTCCCATTTTATCATTGCCCTTTGGGAAGAGGATTTCCAGAGCTCCTTACTCAGCCGTTCCAAAAGTTCTCTCCCCTCCCTTTTAAGGAGGCTCTCTAGAAGACCCTATAACACTTTGACTGTCTGCAAGGGGGTGTAAGTATCTTACTGATCACACAGGGCAGCCATGGTTTAGGGTGGAAGGGGATTGCACAAGGGCAGAGATACAGGGGAGAGGATCATAGGGACCATCTTGGAGGCTGGCTACCATGCTATCCTCACCTCTCACCTGGACTACTATGATCATTCCTTAACTGAGTCTGTTTTTGTCTCCCCAAAGTCTGTTCTCAACACAGCAGCCAGCAACCATCTTACATCTTATGTTGCTCTTCTGCTCAAAATCCTGTAACAGCTTTTCATAGCCAAGTAAAAGCCAGTCTTCACCATGGCTCCAAGGCCTTACATCATTTAGCCCTCACTGCCTTTCTGATTAATCTTCTACCACTCTCTCCTCCCTCACTCCACTCTAGCACAAATGCTATGCCTCAAACGCACTAAGCAGACTTCTGCCCCAGGGCCCTTGCACTGGCTGTTTCCTCTGGCTGGGATCTGCCCAGATAACCATATGGCTGGTTCATTCAAGTATCAGCTGCTCAAAATGATCTTCGAGCACTCTTGCCATTTCCTTCTTATAGCACTTAACACATTGCCTGGTTTCCTCCACCAGGACAGAAGTCCCACAAAAGCAAGGGGTTTGCTCTGTTCTTGCTAAAGTCACATGCAAGGTAAATATCTGTGTAATATTTAAATAGATGGGCTAATGAAAGTGGATGTTAGGCCCAGCTCTGCCCTGTTGATACAGTGAATTTTGTATATGAGACAAGGCAATTATGTATATGAGAGAAAGGCAAGAGGAAATAGGCGTTTGAGTGGATGGGCGGGGAGAAAGTGTAGCTATTAATAAATGAACAAGAAAGGGAAGTGTGGGGGGTAAGTCAGGAAAGTAACTATGTGATATGAAATAAATCATTCAGATTTGTAAGTCTATAAAGTCTAAAAAAAGGCTAAAAGTCTTGGGCGCCTGGGTGGCTCAGTTGGTTAAGCAACTGCCTTCGGCTCAGGTCATGATCCTGGAGCCCCGGGATCAAGTCCTGCATCGGGCTCCCTGCTCGGCAGGGAGTCTGCTTCTCCCTCTGACCCTCCTCCCTCTCATGCTCTCTGTCTCTCATTCTCTCTCTCTCAAATAAATAAATAAATCTTTAAAAAAAAAAAAAAGGCTAAAAGTCTAAAAAGTTTAATTTGAAGGAATAACATTATGTAGAATTATGCAAACTCAGAGAAATAAAGGAAGTTTATCCATGAGTTGAAAGGAACAGACCAGCATACTGTAGTTAAAAACATTAAAAGACTGAGAAAAAAATACATTAACATTAATGAAACTATGGTGGAAGCTTATCAGGGTATGCCCTCCGCATGGGATGAATGTTTCGGGGCAGCACTTGATGGAAGGACAGGATCTCCCTGATCTTGTCCTGGCAAATCTTGTTTGCTGCTACCCCTGCCTCAAACTCTCGGTGTTCCTCTTCTTTCTGCGCTTCCCGGGCCTGCTGCTGGTAGGATATTTGCATCTGAAGTTGCTTCCTGTATTCCTGGGCCAAACTGGAGCGCCTAAGGTATTAGAAATGTCAAGTACAAAATTGTAAAAGCAAGCATTTGGATTCATTTAGGGCATTAGAAGTAAAATGTAACTTTTGAAGTCAAATTAAAATTCCCATTAAAATCAGGGTGAGATGGGGAAAAATAGATGGAAAATTCATTAATGTGTTTATTACACAATAATAATTAAGATAAACAGAACAAATATTGATTTTAGGGAGGGAATGCTTCTGGCCCACTTGGAATATTTCCTGCTATCTGGAGTGAGTCCTTGGCCTCTCTCCATCCCCTCTCCCACTCTTCTCCAAGGAATAAGTGACTTTTCTACTGGTCAAACCAGGAACAGGTTAGTCTGCTGGTTTTCCACTCTGCTCTCTGTCAAAGGGCCACGGCCCTGCCGGAGAGACCTGGCACTGCTGGGGTCTGGGTGGGTGTGTGTGTCTCATTCTATTCAGTATGAACTAGACAATTTCCTCCATACATAAGCCACATTTTAAACATATAAACCACATTTTAAATTTTATAGTGTTTTTTTTTTTTTACTGTGGTAAAAAACACATAATGTAAAATTGACCACTTAACGATTTTTAAGTGTAGAGTTCAGTAGTGTTCAGGACATTCACATTGTTGTGAATCAGTTCTCCGGGACATTTTCATCTTGAAAATTTGAAACACTACACCCATTAAACAACAGCTCTCTTTCCCCCCTACCCCCAGCCTCTGGCAACCACCATTCTATCTGCTGTGTCTATGAATTTGACTAATCTAGGGATCTCGTATAAGCGAAATCATAGAGTACTCATCTTTTTGTGACTGGCTTATTTCACTTAGCATAATGTCCTCAAGGTTCATGCATGAGTTGGCATTTGACAGGATTTCCTTCCTTTTCAAGGCTAAATAATATTCCGTTGTATGTATATATCATATCTGGTTTACCCATTCATGTGTTAATGGACATGTGGATTATTTCCACCTCCTGGCTATTGTGAATAGTGCTGCTATGAACATGGCTGTGTAAATACCTCTTCAATGTCCTGCTTTCAATTATTTTGGATATATACCCAGAAGTGGGATTGCTGGATCACATGGTAGTTCTAGTTTTAATTTTTTGAGGAAACTTCATACTGTTCTCCATAGTGGTCATGCCATTTAAAATCTATAAGCCACATTTTTAAATGTCAGCTTTTATCAGAAAAGAAAGCATGCACATACCTCTGTGGCAGATTCCATTTTCTACAGATAGTCACAGTAGCATCTCCCCTCCCATATGCTCTTCTGCGATGTGAACCTCTATTCCCCTTATCAAGAGGTGGAGCTTCGGTCTCCAGCCTTTGAATCTGGATAGGCCCCGGTGACTATTTTTATGACCAATAGATTATGACAAAACGATGCTATGCCAGTCCTAGGCGCAGCCCCTAACTGTCTATTGGAACTCTCCCTGTCAGAACCAGCCACCACACTGTGAGAAGCCCCAGCACGTGGAGAGGCCACATAAAGGTGTTCTGGGTGATAACACCAGCTGAGTCCTTAGCTACAGTCAGCACACACTGCCAGCTATATGAGTAGGTATCTTAGGTGTCCAGGGCAGTTGAGCCCTCAGGTAATGTAGCCCTGGCTAACATGTGACTTGAACCACATGAGGGACCCCAAGGAAGAACCACCCAAGTGAGCCTTGTCACCAGAGAATCATGAGAGATAATCATAACTCACCTTAAGGCACAAATTGTAGGGTATTCTGTTATGCACCAATAGGTAGCTATGATACCTTCCACACATACTTGTTTTTCTTCTCTCTCAGTTGATTCAGAAGTTGGGCAGGGAAGCACATTGCTATTTATCAAGTCCCCCTCACATCTCCAACAATAAATTTTTCAAAATGAGAAGGAAAGACCTCCAGAGCAGAGGCAGTAGCAGGAAGTAAGTAGGGTAGACCAGAAATTATTGTTAGTGCCCCCAAACTAACAATAGGCGCAGGTATATAAACCCCACTCTTTCTAGAATGAAAAGAGCTTATTTCTATGTACTGAGTATGTGTAAGTCATGGGACAGAGCCAAGGGATGGGAAAGGGGACCAGCAATTAGAGGAGCCAAGTCGTCTTCCTCCACCACACTGGTCATCTGAATTGGGTATCTTGGTCACCGGTGGGAAAGGAGTGCTATGGTCCAAGAAATGCTGCAAAGAGGCATCTGCCTGTTTCCTCCACCAGAGCCTCATGGTGGCGATCAGAGGGGCATTGTCAGAGAAGGCAGTGGTATTTCCCAAAGCACCTAGAACATTTCAGTTTTCCAGCCCAGTGAGGCTACAAAAATTCTTCTGAGGACATTTTGCATGGACTCCTATCCTCAGAAGCCATTTCTGCTACTCCAACTAATCAAGCCACACTGTGTTTCAGGGTTTGTTTCATGGGAAAGAATAGTCTTCTTGTTATTTCATTAGGATTTAATGTTGGAGCCTGTTTTTAAAAAATTGTTTCTAACTTACTTTATTTTTTAAGGTATTCGTTCAGCTTGATACCTAATGTCTATAATCACAATGTATACAATAGCAATAAAATTTAATTTTACCAAGATGTTTGCTGCTTATTTTTATATGGAATTTTGTAAAATGACTGGAACTTTTAGGACAAATGTAATACTGATGTAAAAAAAAATGTCAATAATGCATGAGTGATGGCATGTTGTCCTCTCTCTACATTAAAAATCTTCCCCGTTTTTAGGCAGTAAACAATAATAAAGAAAACAAAATCATACCTTGCAAAATTCTCCTTCTCTTCACGGTTAAGCTCTTTAAGACCTTCATTTATGCGTTCCTGTTCCATAGCACGCTCTTCCTGTTCTTTTGCCTTTCGCTGCACTTAAGAAAGACAAATGTAATTTTTGGTAAATGGCTTTCTTCAGACAAGACTTGCTGGCATCCCTCTGGGCATCAATGCCATCCTGTCTTTAGAGAGGCAGAGCCTACAATCACTGGGCTGTATCTTAGGTCAATAGGGTAGAAGTAGTCCTCTCCAAAAAGGGAAGAAGAGGGTTTAGGTTCGAATGTGTGTGATCTACACAGATTTTTTTCTTAATCATTTTTCACTGAAAACCTATGATCAGCCTTTTTCAAACCAGGTTACCACTATTAGAACACTTCTTACCTTTCTCTTCTTGAGGACAAACAGTTCTGTTGTCAATTTGTGTTAACAAGAGAGTTTATTTATGACAAAATAAATACTGGAAAAGGCCTGAGTTTATTATATATAAGGTATTTATAAATTAAATTTTAAAAACATAAGCATCCAGTAAGGGTGACAAAATTACAAAGAAAACAGAGTTCACAAAAGAATAAATACAATTGGGAAATACACATCTGAAATGTACATCTTTGGCCCCCAAATCCACTTATAGGAACTTTTCTTAAATAATCATATATAAGCCAAGAAGAACTATATACAGAGATAGTAACCTGTATTCTAAAATAGTAGTAAAAAGATTCAAGACAATCTGAAGGTCCATTAATTGTGTTTAGGTAAAATAAATCACGGTCCATTTTTATAATGGATTTCTAGGCAGCATTACAAATTTTATAATTGAAGAAAAATGACCTAGAAAACTGTTTATGATAAGTGGCAAAGGCAGGCTGTAAAACAATATATTCAACATAAATCCTAATTTACTATATACATAGTAAAAATACTGGAAGGAAATACACGAAGTTGTGAATAGTAGCTATTCCTGGGTGGTAGAATTATGGTTGATTTTGTTTCTTTGTTTAAAAATGGCCCCAAATACTTAAATTTTCCATGTTGTCTCAATAGATTTTAAAACATTTATCATGGGTAAATACAGAAATTTGTTAGCTTATAAGCTTTTTTCTCATTTTCTTACAACTCCACCTAATATGGGCTTAACAATTTTCAATGGCTGTTATAATTCCTGGAGTGGAGAATCAATGAGTTTTCTCTTGCAAAGACAACTAGTGTGAAGTCTAATGGTACCCGAATGGTAAACATGTCCATCTTCTGCCTCTCCGGTTCACTGGGCTGGACATGGGACAGTGGAAATCTGAAGGTGGCAGTTCACCCTCTCAACAAATATTTCCTTTCGTGACCAAGTACTGTTTGGAGCTGAGGGCATACAAAGGTGTGCTAAGACAGGGATGTGAGCAAGCCACAGTGAGAGCCTCAGAAAGAGGATTTATTACGAATAGGGGGACATATTTGAGGAATGGGACATTTGAGCTGGCCTTGAAGGATTGCCTCGATTTCTCAAGATCAAAAGCATCATAAGCAGAGAAAACTACCCAAGTAAAGGTATGAAGGTCTGGAGACACCTACAGAAAGAAAAGAGGGGCAGGTAAAAGAGAGGAGGGGTGTGTGCTGTGCCCTATCTTCTCACTTCCCTTTATAGTCACTAAGGTGCACAGACCATTCAACAGACATACTGTTCCTTTAACCTTGAGAACATCTCCAACATGACTGCTAGAATCTGCTAGGATATAAAACTCTTCATATGTTTATACTCAATGTATTAAATTAGGTAAGTTCTACAAGGCAGGGCTCTTGCCTTAATCCTTTTTACATCCCTCATACCATTTTACATATAATACCTACTTAATAAATATTTTGGTTGCTACTTAAGTTGAATTAAGGCCCAACTATAATATTATTATAATTCATGTCCTTACGTTTTTCCTGAATTTGAAGTCTTCTTGTACACATGACCTCATTCACAAGTTGTCTCCTTGCCTCCTTTTCAAGTCTCAGCTCCTTGTCCTCCTCAGCCAACTTCTTTTCCTTCTCTGCCTCTAATACTCTGTCCAGTTCTTTCTCCTGAGCTCTCTCCTCCTCACGCCGCTGAGCCACATACTGACGGTATATCTCCTGTTCTCTTGCCATCTCTTCCTACACAACAGAAGAATCACCTCACGTTGTTAACTTGTAGGTGTGATGATGGTACAGAGGTTAAGTTTTACAACAATCTTTTAGAGCTACAATCCCAATTTTTTAAAACTACATACTGACACACTTATAGACGAAATATTCTCTCTAGGGTTTAGTTCAAAATATTCAAGAGTGGTGGTAGGGAACGGGTGGGACACACATGAAATACAGAATCGCCGTTCGTTGGTGGTTGTTGAAGCTAAGTGAAGGGCATATGGGCGTTTATTGTGTTATTCTTTGTACCTGTGCTTTATAATACATTTTTTAATAAGTTACTTCGAACACTTTCCCAAAGTGTTTTTCAAAGCAGTTCCCAGATAATTTTCAATTATACAGCTCTATCTGTATATTTATTTTCATTTAGGTAGGTTATGAAATTATAACCTGATAAACAAAATAAGTCATTACCACTATGATAGCACTGTTTCTGACTAGAAGCTCGTCACTTGATACTTTGATGATAGACCTTCCCAGCCTTAGCTATACTTTGAAATCACCTGGAAGCTTTAAAAAGTACCAAGGGCTGAATCTCACCCTGAGACTCCAATCTAATGAACAGCGTTTAAGTTCTCCAAGTAATTTTAATGTGCAGCTAAGGCTGTCAACTGGGCTTTGCAATGCTGGCATTTTTAACTGGCTTTTCTGTTATTCATGGTATTATACTTGGGCCGTTCCATCCAATCTCTGTCCTGACCTCTTTTGAGAATATCATAGATCTGGGGAAGCCCGGCAAGGTCTGAATTGTACCCTCAGAATGACTGGCATTCATAGTCTCATACTTGGGAGTAAATTTAAGAAAAGAAGTGCAAAACTCATACTCTGAAAACTAAGAAACTGAAAAAATAAGTGGAAAGACAACCTACATTCATGGATCAGAAGGCAATACTGTTAAAATGGCAACGTCTACATTTGATCTACAGATTCAAAACAATCCTTGTCAAAATCCCAAATGGTTTCCATGGAGAAATCGACAAGCTGATTCTAAATTCATATGGAAATGCAAGAGAGCCAGAAAAGCCAAAGCAATTTGAAAAAGAACAAAGTTGGAGGATTCACATTTCCTGATTTCAAATTTACTGCAGAGCTACAGTGATCAAGCCATATAGATACATGCTACTGGCATAAGGATGGACACATAGATTAATGGAATAGAACTGAAAGTCTAAAGATAAACCCTCAAATTCACCGTCAATTGATTTTGAATAGTGTACCAAGACAATCGTACAGGGGAAGAACAGTCTCTTCAACAAATGGTGCTGGGACAACTGATATCTACATGCCAAAGAATGAAGTTGGACCTCTACCTCATACCATACACAAAATTTAACTCAAAATGGATCAAAGGCCTAAATGTGAGAACTAAACCTATAAAACTCTAAGAAGAAAACACAGGACCACCATCTTCTTGACCTTGGGGTAGGAACACATTTTTAGATATAACACTAAAGGCACAAGCAACAAAACAAACTATAGATAAATTGGACTTCATCAAAATTAAAACTTTTACACTTCAAGGGATACCATCAAGAAAGTGAAAAGACAACCCACAAAATGAAAAATATATATATTTTTTTCAAATATAAAATACAAAATATAAAAGACAACCCACAATTTATGTGTAAGGGACTTGTATCTAGAACACATAAAGCACTATTACAACTCAATAATAAAGACAGTCCAATTAAAAATTGGGGAAATGATTGGAATAGATTTCTTGAAATTTCAAATAGGTTCAAATAGATTTCTCCAAGGAAGATATATAAATGGTCAATGAGCACAGAAAAAGAAGCTCAGCATCAGGAGGATGTAGAGTCATTAGGGAATGCAAATCGAAACCATAATAACAGATCACTTCAAACACACTAGGATGGTTGAAATAAAAAAGACAGACAATAACAAGTGTTAACAAGCATGTGGAGAAATCAAAACCTGTGTATACTGCTAGTGAGAATATAAAATGTAAAGCCACTTTGGAAAACAATTTGGCAAGTACTCAAAAACTTAAAGTTACCTTAGGACTTGTTAATTCTACTCCTAGGTATATGCCCAAGAGAAACAAAAACCTAAGTCCAAACAAAAATTTATATACGAGAATATTCACAGTAGCATTATTCATAATAGCAAAAAAATGCAAACAAATCAAATGTCTATAGATTGACAAATGGATAAATGAAACATGGTATATCCATACAATGGAGAATTATTCAGCCATATAAAAGAGGGAAGTATTCATACATGTTACAACATGGATAAGCCTTGAAATATGCTAAATGAAAGATGCCAGTCAAAAAGTCACATAATATATAATGCTATTCATAATAAAGTCCACAATAGCAAATCCAGAGACAGAAAATATATTAGTAGTCGCTTAGGAATGGGAGTAAGGAGGGGCGCCTGGGTGGCTCAGTCACTTAAGCATCTTCTTTTGGCTCAGGTCATGATCCCAGGGTCCTGAGGTCCAGCCCCAAGTTGGGACCCCTGCTCAGTGGGGAGTCTGCTTCTTCCTCTCCTCTCTGCCCCTCCCCGCTGCTTGTGTGCATTCTCTCTCAAATAAATAAAATCTAAAAAAAAAAAAAAAGGAATGGGGGTAAGGGGTGAGGAAGAGGGAAGAGCAAGATAATAAAAAGTTCTAAAATTGACTGTGGTGATGGTTGCACACTTATGTGAATATACCAAAAACCACTGAATGTATATTTGAAATGGGTAAGTCGTATGAATTATACCTTAATGAAGCTGTTAAAAAATAAAATAAAATGATCTAATGGAGAACAAAAAACTTAATAGCAAAAAAAAAAAAGGAAATCAAATAATTCAATTAGAAAATGGGAAAGAAATCAAGAAATGGGCAGAAGACATCAACAGACATTTCTGCAAAGAAGACATCCAAATGGCCAACAGACACATGAAAAGGTGTTCAACATCACTCGGCATTAGGGAAACACAAATCAAAACATCAATGAGATACCACCTCACACCAGTCAGAATGGCTAAAATTAACAAGTCAGGAAAAGACAGATGTCGGCGGGGATGCGGAGAAAGGGGAACCCTCCTCCACTGTTGGTGGGAATGCAAGCTGGTGCAGGCACTCTGGAAAACAGTATGGAGGTTCCTCAAAAAGTTGAAAATAGAGCTACCCTATGACTCAGCAACTGCACTAAGATACAAATGTAGTGATCCGAAGGGGTATGTGCACCCAATGTTTACAGTAGCAATGTCCACAATAGCCAAACTATGGAAAGAGCCAAGATGTCCATCAAGAGATGAATGGATAGAGAAGATGTGGTGTGTATATATATATACATATGATAGAATATTATGCAGCCATCAAAAAAAACCCCAACAAATCTTGCCATTTGCAATGACATGGATGGAACTAGAGGATATTGTGCTAAGCGAAATAAGTCAATCAGAGAAAGACAAGTATCATATGATCTCACTGATACGAGGAATTTGAGAAACAAGACAGAGGATCATAGGGGAAGGGAGGAAAAAATAAAACAAGATGAAACCAGAGGGAGACAAACCATAAGAGACTCTTAATATCAGGAAACAAA